AAACTGTAGATCCAGCGCCTCCGACAGAGGCTACTCCAGCTCCCCAGGAGGAGCCACCCACGTCTGATCAGGATGTTCCATCCGCACCTGTTCTGCCGGTGGAGTCATCCTCATCCTCCCCTGTCGAGGCTGTGGCTGGCACATCCACCTCTGGACCACCCCCTATGGATTTTAGGGTCCTCCAGGAGCTGTTGAGGCGAGTGGCCCTCAATATGAACCTCCAAATTGAGGAGGTTGTGGAGGATGAGGACCCCATGGTGGACATTCTAGGCCCAGAAGGGCCCTCCAGGGTGGCCCTTCCCATGAACAAAACTATACAAAACAATGCGAAGACCCTCTGGCAGACCCCGGCCTCCATTACCCCCACAGCTAAGGGAGTGGAATGGAAGTACTTTGTTCCCACAAGGGGTTATGAATACCTGTTTACCCACCCTGCCCCATGTTTGCTGGTGGTGGATGCGGTAAATGCCAGGGAGAGACAGGGCCAGCAGGGGCGTGCTCCCAAATCAAAAGAAGTGAAACGGCTGGACCTTTTTGGGAAAAAGGTTTATTCCACTGGGGGTCTCTCGCTGCGTATCGCTAACCAGCTGGCGATCCTCAGCAGGTACAATTTTAATTCTTGGTCTGCGGCCCTTAAGTTCCAAGATCTTCTCCCGGCAAAGGCTTGTACGGAACTGGGGGCCATTGCTGAGGAGGGTAAGCTGGTTGCTAGGACTTCCCTCCAGGGTTCCCTCGATGTGGCGGACGCGGCTGCGCGTATCCTGGTGTCAGGAATCGCTATGCAGCGGAATACCTGGCTTCAGTCCTCCGCCTCCCGCCTGAGGTCCAGCATACCATCCAGGACCTCCCTTTCAATGGCCAGGGCTCGTTTGCAGATCAAACTGACTCCCGCCTGCATACCTTAAAGGACACCAGAAATACCATTAAGTCCTTGGGTATGCATACCCCGGTTACCCAGAGGAAGCCCTTTAGGCCACAGACCACCCAGCAACATCCTTTCCCTCCGAGACCGAGGCTGGACCCTTCTCGTCGGAGGAACAGATACTCCCGACGTAGGCTGTCTCGTCCTCCTCTGGACAAGGACAGTCTAAGCCACCCCCGGGCCCTAAGCGCCCATTTTGAAGGTGCGCCAGAGGACGGACTACCAGTTCTCACCCAGGACAGTCATCCCTTTCTAAATCGTCTATCTCGTTTCTACCATGCCTGGTCCCATATTACCTTGGACCGTTGGGTCCTCCGCATGGTGCAAACGGGATATTCTATCCAATTCCATTCTGGATTACCTGATGTCCCTAAAGGACCAGCACCTAGCCTTTGGATCCCTTAAGGTTCACCTTGCAGCCATTTCTGCGTTCCACCCAGGCGCGGCGGGGCGTTCAGTGTCTGCACATCCGGTCGTGCGACGTTTTCTCAAAGGCCTGGAGAAAATCCATCCTCCAACGAAGCCACCTGTGCCTACATGGGACCTCAACTTGGTCCTCTCCTGCCTTATGGGCCCTCCTTTCAAGCCGCTGGACACCTGCTTTCTTTCATAAAGATAAAGTGCAACTAAGACCTCACCCGGCCTTTCTACCAAAGGTGGTGTCCCGCTTCCACTTGAGCCAAGATATCTTCCGACCCGAAACCGCATTCTGACCCACGTGAACAGCGCCTCCATTCTCTTGATGTTAGAAGGGCACTTGCCTTCTATATAGACCGGACAAAGCCCTTTCGTAAAACGACCCAGTTGTTTGTCGCCATTGCGGAGCGGATGAAAGGCGCTCCGGTCTCCTCTCAACGAATATCGTCGTGGATCACCGGGTGCATTCGTGCTTGCTACAACCTGGCAAAAGTCCCTCCGCCTGCTGTTACAGCTCACTCCACGAGAGCTCAGGCGTCATCAGCTGCCTTTCTGGCACACATTCCTCTCCAGGAAATCTGCAGGGCTGCCACGTGGGCCTCGGTTCATGCCTTCACGTCCCACTATGCCATCGTCCAGCGCTCTCGGGATGATGCAGCCTTTGGCAGAGCGATCCTTCAATCTGCGGTTCCTGGACTCCGACAGCACCTCTGAGGTAAGGCTTGGGAGTCACCTAACTGGAATTGATATGAGCAATCACTCAAAGAAGAAAAAACGGTTACTTACCTTTCTGTGACTGTTGTTTTTCGAGATGTGTTGCTCATATCTATTCCATTCCCCCCCACCTTCCCCTCTATCGGAGTAGCCAGCAAGAAGGAACTGAAGGGGGGTCGGGCTGGCAGGGGCTTATATAGATCGCCATTTTGGCGCCACTCCAGGGGGCTCCGCAGCTGGCCCGACAGGTAGCTGCTAGGGTAAAAGTTTCCGACATCCGTGCACGCGGCGCGCGCACACACCTAACTGGAATAGATATGGTAAGTAACCATTTTTTACTAGAATAGCCAAAAATTAAATATGTAAATAATGGGGAACAATGAAGGGCAAAATGCTGGAACAGGAACTAAAATGTAAGCCAACCTTACTTTGGCCCTGATCCTGCTTAGACTTAAGCACATGCTTAACTTTAATGCTCTTTGGGACTCCTCACCTGCTTAAAGCTAAGCACGTGCAAAAAGTCTTTGTAGGATACGGGCCTCAATATATACAAATATTTTAAACAATATTAAGATTATTTACCATTTTAAGTCTTGCAAATTATTAAAATAATAGAAAATTCTCAACTTTGGTTAGTAGACCATTGTTAATGGAGGTGTATTGATGCTTTCTCTGATTTGGTTTAGTGAAGAGCAGTTAAGTCTTATAAATGCTGTTGTATCACAATAGTTCTATAGCTTTTAACTAATGAGATTGTAAGTTTATGATGTGGAACTTCGGTGAGAAAGTAGGGATTCTTAGTGATATATGTGTCTTGATTGTATGAACGACATACACTTGATAATTTCACAGTGGCTATGGGTATTTGCATAACTATGTAACCCTTCTGCCCATCTAAGTTGGCAGCAACAAGGGCCGGGTTCTATATCTAGGGGTTCCGTTTCAATAACACAATGCAAAACCGGCTCGAGCCCCCACCCAGTGACCTGGGACAATTACATACCACCCCCCTGGGTACCTCTAAGAGGCAATACTTCCCCTCTCGCAAGCACGGAGTCTGAGTGTAGCAGAAAATGTTTAATAACATGAGGTAAACGAATCAGCATAAAATTGGAAAAACACCACAAACAGGATTCATAACACAAACCATGAGCAAAACCCACCCCAGCAAATTGGGCTGTGTCCTTTCCCTTTGGCTCTTGAATCCAGCAACCCAAAAAATCACCCAGAGTCCCCAAAGTCCAACACCCCCAAAGTCTCTTGGGTCCAGCAACCACCCAATGTCCCAAAAGTCCAACAACCCCCAAAGTCTCTGTCCCTGGTCAGTGCAGCCCCAGAGTAAAA